CACTAATCGCGCATTTAGCCAAAATCTATACAATCACTACAACCGGTCAAAATGCCATGTGATTCAAAATACATTTGCAACCCCTAAAAAACACCAACCCCATACGAACTACGAATTGGGACTCTGATTCCTCATAAGAGGTTACGTAGGCATACGATCAAAAATCGTAGCGAGTTCTCCTATAAAAAATTTAAACCCTTTCCTCCAAATTAAAATTAAAACCCTATTTTACCCAAACCTAAACCCAAAACCTAGTATCCTTGAGAACATGGTATATGAAAGGTGCCTAACACCTTCCTTTCGTCTAATAGAGTCTGAAACCTAGAATATTTGTCTACGAATTAGGGTTTTCTGTTAGATTCCCTTCCTTAGGATAAAAACTAATAGTGGCGACTCTGATTTAAAAACTAGTCGCAACAGACACCACATAGCGGCCCCGTATTCTCCTCGATTTAACATAAGGGATACTGGTACCAACAAATGTGTCACACTAATGAGGCCATCACTTCAACCATATAGGTCTATGTTGTACAGGCTCCACGATCTATTGCTGCTTACCTAAAAGTTCCCCAGATCTGTGTATAAGATCTTTACAAGAATACCCAAACATAAACCCGAAATGTAAAGCATGCAAGTCAAATAGGTAAATAATTTAAATGTGAACTATCTCTAAGGTAACCCCACTTTTTAGAAATTCTCCCCAGCAGAGTTGCCAGTTCTGTAATACGGTGGGAGAACTAACTTTTACTTGTTTTACATTTTTATTTGCAAATGTTGCGGTTAGCAAGAGTCGCCGCCGACTTTTCTTTTAACCAACCAAGGAAAGGGTGAAAAGAACAGGAAATACCTTTCGAGATTATTTTCTGAGTAAGGGGTAGGTTATGGAAAGGGAAGGTGTTAGCAACCTTTCTATCTGTAGTTATCTACGGACTCTTAGTTGCTAGCTCATTTTGAAAAATGCTTTTTTATGTAAGTGTGTTTTTGAAGATATTTTGAAAAGATGCCTTAGTATGGAGAACTTTGTAATGTCTATCGTTTCAGCGAGAACGTATACAAAATACTTTTTTGCTTTTGAAAATATTTAGAAAATAGTTTGTGTATGTGTGAGGAATTGTTTTATTTGAGCAAGCAACTAGGAGCTATCTACTTACTCGAAAGGTTTGTTATTTTCTTCTTTTCCTTTAGACAATGTTATCCTACTAATAGTGAGTAGGTAGCCCTATCGTTGGATGTTTTGAGGGACTAGCGAAGGTCATCGTACCATCACAAAGGCAACTAGTAAGATATCTTAGTAATTACCCTAGGGTTTTAAGATCATTTTACCGAGGCAACATCAAAAGGGTCATCGAGGGACTTATAATCTTTTAAACCAAAGGGTAGCCACTAAAATCTCTTATATTCGAGAATCGTGACCGTTTATTCCGAAGGCAACAAGTGACGAAACCTTAGAGGTGCGTGTGTGCGAGTGTGTTGTGTTTCAATTATTTTTCTTGGATGTCAGGTTTGCCAATGTTTAATTTTAGTCTTATCATGTAATCCTATTAACATACATCTAACAGTTAATATATGTATAGAAAATAAAAATGCGGAAATTGAATTTACGCTATTACATGGCCTCGAGGTGGGGAAATTACAATTCCAAAACGGGGAAGCAAAAGTAAAAGTCCTAAATTTAAACTATTACAACCCATATGCATATACATAATATTTGGAAATAAAATTGCGAAACTAAAACAAACACGCGAAGTTGAAATGATTTAAACCTAGTTCTAATTGATTTTAAAATAATTAAAATAAGTCAAATAATTTAATTAATTAACTAATTAATTTATAAAAATTTAATTTAATTGTAAAACCCTAAAATCCATTTTTTTGTGACTTTTTCTGATTTTATCATAGAATAAAAATGGTTTATAAAAATAAATATAAAATAATTAATAAATAAACAAATCTAAAATAAAATGAGAAAAATGCTATGGGCCTGCTAGACAAGTTAAAATAGGGGGGTTGTTGCACCCCAAAATTTGCCCTCCTAATTTCTCTTATTCTGGTTTGGACGTTGCGTTCATCTGCATCATTCCAGTAGGTCATGTGCATAACACACATTTTCATTAAAAAAATAGATCACCTGAGGTTCAAAAGATCAGCAGTTAGGGAGCTAGGGTTTACAGCTTATTTGAGGTGTATGTGTTGAATAAGTTTGATTATTCAGGGTCTTCTTGGTGTACAAGGCTGTGGAATTAGGGTTTTGGTTCATGCTCATTTTTGGACTTCTTCTCCATCCAGTTACAGGGCTAATATCTTCTGGTGAACAACTGGTTGTAGGTCTTTCTTGTCAAGAACTCAAGGGCGTGACCTAGCATACATGGTCTTTAAATCAAGACGTCTCTTCATATAAGTGTGCTTATCATTTGATCATGGTTAATGACTGTGGTACGACATTCATCCCTTCCTCAGTTAACCAATTCAGGTTTGGTTGAATTATGGTTCAAAGATACTTCATCTGGATATTTCTCTGTGCATTTGAATTAAGGAAGTCAAGTTCGTGAGGTGTGGTTATCAGGATTTCTTTCTCTTCAAGATATAATTGTTTTTATCCAGTCTTGGTAAGTGCTGGGGTTTTCATTTGCGCGACTAGGGTTTCATGTCAAGGGAATTCTTTTGTGATTCAAACCTTATCGTCCATCTGTAAGATGTTCCTCATGACACTAATTTCGAGTTGAAATAACCGGTCGCTAAGGGTTGGGGATCGAATTATGAAACGTGATCCATGACCTAAGATATGAATTTATGGACTTCTTCTTAACCAAGGCAATTATTGTTCTTATCATTGTCATTTGTCATCTGCAATGCGAGTATATTTGGATCGAAGTAGGCTTCTCATTGAAGAATTCATGCAAAGTGATTCATGGTTTGTCATGCTTTAAGGTTCAAGGCAGGGTTTTGTTCAACATGGCATACCTAGTTGATTGGCTTACAAGCTCTTATGAGACCTTGAGATGCATAATCATGGGCCAAGTTCAAGATACGTGGATAAGATCTTTTGACTTCGGTCAAAGTAAACTTTGAAAAATTAACTTTTGGACCAAGGTCTCCCTTGAGCTTTCATCTAATACGTGTTAGGCATTCAAGTTGCATTTGAAGAATGGTATGGAAAAAAGAAAAGAAATATTGGTTCAGAAAAGGAAATTTTCATTAAAAATCAAGGTTTATACAAGCTGCAAGTTAATTCGCATGATCATAAGAAACCATTCATATATTCAACATCACTTGATGCTATTACATTACCATTACAATAATCATGAAGCCATTACATCATAAATCATTACATCAATACCTAGTGTAAACTTAATCCTAGAAATCATTCATGCTCTAATTTCTTTGTTGCCCTAAATCCAATCTTCAAAACCCACCCATCCTTCATTACCAAATTTGCAAACTTTCTCAGAAACTGTCCAAAATACTTCAGCCCTGCATAATTTCCATCTACATCATGTTCAAATGTCCAACCAGAAATCTGCATTCAAGTCTACAAAAATTGATTAATATCCAAATTGTACAAACATACCCAATGATGTGTATTGATGCTCTGTTTCAACAAAAAGTTACCCTGCACATAAAGTAGCATATACATGTTCAATGCTACAACCGAGCAGGATCTTCAAAAGAACAAATATTGGATTAGTATGAGATTATGATCAATAATAAGGAACAATGTCGTAAAGGATGATTTCATGGATGACACGATTCATTCAAGTGAACAAGGAATACATGTTTTTCTTAATATTAGCGTTTTCATTCTAGGAAGTGAAGTTCCAAGTTTGTTCCGCAAACAGTGATGGAAAGCCATTTTCATTCACCTTTACTTATCATACATATCTACCAGTACTAGACATAATTAAAGTTCAGGTTGAGGAATTAGAGACCCTGGATTATCTTGACAGCTTGCAGAACAAGGACTGAGCAGGGGGACGCTTCAATGTTTGAATCAGAAATATCTTAATACTCCAACAAAGAAAGTAGATGTTGCTGTGAAAAAAAAACATAAAGTGAAGTTAGAAATTCCAGTTCCAACAAAATTCCAGCAGCCTACATAAATTCAAGAATATATGCAGATTCGAAACAAAAAGGAAAAGTGACCGCACTAACAGATTTAAACCAAACAGCATTGCTAACGCAAAACAGAAAATTAATAGAACTTCAACTAACTGCCAAAAAACAGCTTATACCATAACAAAGGGCTAGCTCATGTCATAATAGAATCCCTAACGACTTACTGTTAACAAAAACCTGTAACTAACTCTTCTAACCTCCTAACAGAATTATCAAAAACAACTAACAGAACTCTAACAACATCCTAACCGCCTAACCATATCCTAACTGCCCTAACAGAAACAAAATTTCCCAATCTATAACAGATATCCTATAACCAATCTCTAACAACCGCTAACCAATTTCTAACCGCATCTTAGTAAAAGGAAGAAACAAGATAACAGAAAATTCATAACAGATTCTCAATAAGATTCAATAAACAGAAAGAGAAAAAGGGGAGAGGGAATTCACAATTCAGTCTATAAAAACAACAAAAAAATACGAGATAGGGAGGACTCACCATGAAAAATCTCTGACTCATCTTTCCATTTTCTGTTTCATCAACTTCAAAAAATTCTCTGTTCTATAAATCTTGATCATCTGCTACAACCTTCATCAATCTTTAACATCTCAACCTTCATCTCTGAACTTCACTCACCGTCATCATCACACTTCACACCTCAAAACCACCATTTTTTTTCTCCAACCTCTCTCTCTGATTCATCATCTTCATATCACTCCCTTCGTTCTTCTCTCTGTAATTTCAATCATCTTCCAGCTTCATCCTCATCTTCACGCTCTCTCTCTCTCTCTACATAATCCTCTCCCTTCCCTCATCTTCAACGATCATCAATAATTATCTTCATAGCAGAACCAATCTTCATCCTCTCAATGATTCAATCTATATATCATAGACTACAATTCATACGCACACAGAAAGTTGAAGAAGAGGCAAAGATCACAGAAGACAAAGAAGGAATAAAAGTAAGAGCAAGAAGGAAATACCTGGAGTACACAACAGCAATAATCGAGGTTTCCGTTTCTTTTTCCGCCTCCGTAGAATCGTCATCGGAGCGACTCCGATAGGTACGTGGAACATTCTCTTCCATGCATCTTTTCTCTGTTCTCTCGTCATCATTTAGTAGAGGACCGATTTCTGAATTAGAGCCCTAAGGTCTCATGGCCGGAGATAGTTTCATCGCCATGTAATTTAGGTTTTAGGTCTTGGATCTTCGTGCTTTTTTTTAATTGATACAGAAAGAATTAGAAGAAGATGGAGATGAGACGAGGAGTAGTAGAAGTTTGAGACGGAGATGATGAGTGTAACACGGCGATGATGGGGAAGAAAGGTGAACGGAGATGAGGAATAAAAGTGTTCAGTCACGACTTTCTAGAAGGAGAAGGTTAAATGGAAATGATGATAGTGATATGGAGTTAGTCGAAGTTTTGAGTAGCCAGCGCCGCTGGTTGAATGATAGGGATAAGGGGAAGAGATGAAGGCTCTATGTGTGAAGCTCAATCGACACTTCTCAACCCTAAACAAAGATCAAACGCAACGTTTCCCCATGTACTGCCTTTTGGTTTTATTACATTTTCTATTTAATTCAGAAATAGCAAAGTACGGAAATTGGTGATGGTGTATTAGGTTAAGGAGTACGCTGGGCATCCTCTCTTCACTTGCCTAGCTCGGTGCATTTTTAGAGGCATAATAACATTGCTCACAATAAGATAATAGCATTGTTGACTTAAACGGAATGGGCCTAACTCCCAAAATGAATTGATGGATTACACCATTGTCTGCATAATTGCACCCCTGGGCTTATCCTATTGGCAATCCCCTTTGAATAATTTTGTTAATTATTTAGATTTTGTTAATTTTTCCTATGAAAAAATTTTAAAATAAATAAAATTTGTTAGATTTCTATAGTTGATCTTTGGAATTAACTCTTTATCTTTTTTATATAATTTTCCTCACATAAAAAACTAATAATAAAAATATTTTGTTTCTTTTAGTTTTTTTAATGATATCTTCATATCGCTTCGCCTTGTTATTTTTGACGTGTTTGTTCATTATGCAAGGTACAATATTTTTGCTTTTGATCATATAACATAACAAGTAGTTATGTGATCGAATCATATGGCTTATGCTTGCTTCCGATGCAACACGCCTTGTTTCTTATCGTCCTGTCAAATTCATATCATATTATATGTTATCCCGATACATGCGATACTTTATGAGCTTTGTGCATGAACTTCTGATTATGCATTGCGTTCATAACACGTGTTATCCTCTGTCTTAGTTGGATATTATTTCTAACTTTGTTTATTTCTTGGTGAAGCTTGCTTGACACGTACTCCTTGCTTCTCCAGTACTTTTGTCTGCTCTTGACGACTTGCTCGCTTTGGTAGTCGCCGCTACTATCTCTGTGCTTTTTCGCACTTTATTGCTTTCTAGATACCATGAGAAGTAGGAAATAAAGACCGCGCGCTCGAAGTCGCTGTTTAAAGACCTGTAGCAGGCATTCCGCACTTTATTTTCTATATGTGTTGTGCTTGTGTTTTTTTACTTTCTTGTTGATCGATGAGTCACTCAATTTAGAAATTGAGATCAAGACTTCGCTCTCATTGCATGTTCCCTATAGGATTTTATTGCTTTGCTTTATTTCTTGTTGATCGATGAGTCACTCAATTTAGAAATTGAGATCACGACTTCGCTCTCATTGCATGTTCCCTATAGGATAGGTTTGTTAGACTTTATTTTGCATGTTGATCTGGATAGGATCTCTTTAGGTGTGCTCTCTTGAGTTTGTTGGATTGTTTGCTTTATCCTTATACATACCATGTTCCGTTAGGATGCGCTTGCTCCATTCGGATGCAAGTTAGACCTTAGGTTGTAAACCATGCATGCTAACATTAGGTGGACGTTTCCCTTTTGTTAATCCAAACCTTAGGACTACCATTGTATGATAACATTAGGTTTATAAATAGGCTAGTATCCCTTTGACTATTCTTTCCCCTTTTTGCATATGCATTTAAAACTAAAACTTCTTTTTCTTTCAAACTTCGAAATACTTAAAAAAAATTTACTAACGAGAATCATATCTTTGTTAAGTATGAGAGATGGTAAGTGGGTTTCTTCTCGACCTTATTGATCTCTTATTCTAAGCTTCAATGTGGTTCAAGTTTCAAAGACTTATTTCATGAATAAGTAGAGAAATGACTAAAATCTCTCTCTTGATATTAACTAGCTGTTATCCACAAGCAAAAACACCAACAAACATAAACTCTTTTTGTCTTTGGGCTTTTCTTTCAAACTCTTTTCAGAAGAGTATGTTAATTCACTTCTGTGCTGACGCGTAAGTCTCCAAAGGTCGAGTTGCGGCAGAAGGCGAAATTAATATTGTTCATTAAAAAAATACAAACCAACAAAAACATGTGAGCCAAACTATGGCTTCTCTGATTCCTTAAAAGGGATACATAGGCATTGGGGTAGGGGCCGAGCGAGCACATCTTTTATTTTCCCTACATTCTTTTCCCCTTTCTTTTGCATGCATTCCCTGTACAATTTAGATATAGATTAAACACACCCATAAGATAGACAACAAGAGTGGATACCAAAGAGTACTACGGGCGTGTGGGTTGCTAATACCTTCCCCTTGCGTAACAGACTCCCTTACCCGATCTCTCGGTCGCAAGACCGTGACTTCTCATTTCTCAAGTTTTCTCGATGTTTACCTTTCCCTACGTGTGGGATAAAAGACGTTCGATGGAGAATTCATTATTTGATGATTTTCAGCCAGTTGTTTTAGGGGTGAATTGCAATTTGTTAGGCCCATAGAGGAGAGGCCCGGGATGTTGCGCCTGATCCTGTGGATATGGTTCTTGAGGGTCCATCATGAGGGAGCGCTCTAAGAGCGCGGGATCTAGACTTCTTATGATCTGTTGGCTGGGATTTGAAGGTATATGGTAGGCATGCTGGAATCCACTACACAAGATCTGCATTAATCAAATTTTAAGAAAACAAAATGCAAGAGGCAGAGATCGAACCCCTGTCCTTGCATCCAAACGCCTTATCACACGCTACATCTACCACTGGGCCATGCTGATCAATTGTTAATATAATGAAATAAAAATAATATAATAAGAAAACAATCAAAAGCTGAGTCACCAAGCACGCGCGCGTTGTAAGTTTGAATGGGCCAATCAGGTTGCAATTTTTTGCCACGCCAGCTTTGACCGGAGTCAAAGAAATTCAGGGATGCCAGAGTTGTCTTTTGGTCATCTTCTCCCGCCCTGCAAAAAGGGGATCTTCCAAAATACATGGAATTAAGGCCCCAAACTCAGGCTACCCCCGCCCCCTTATTTCACATGCTACAAATTCATCCATGGCATTGGTGTGACCTGAAACTGCCTGTATCATCCTACTCGAAGCATGGCCGTTTTGAAACCCTAAAAATGGAAACCTGCATTCTGAGCCTCTAGTTTTTCATGTACCACATTGGAATGATTCAAAATGATCAAATAAACATGAATGTGTGCTTTAGATCCATTTAAATCGCGTGTGTTAAGAGATTCAAAATGCAAAAAACTTATCAAATGGAGGTAGCTCGGTTGGCCAGTTTCAGGATACTTCAGGCGTGGATGAAGGATGATTTGGCCTCTTGGGAGCCTCAAGAGTAGTGTTTGACCATTTGCTTGGACTGAAAAGGGTTAAAACCTTAGTTTCGAATTTTCACAACTTTGAATTTTTTTTTGAGAATTATGGAGCTTTTTTCAGGTAGTGTTTTTTCGTCCTTTTAGTCTGGCAAGGCTATGTATTTATAGAGGGAAGGTGAGATGGAATAAACATGGAAAAGATCAAAGCATTAACCATGGCTTGAATACAAAATCACAATTTCAAAAAAATGACATTTTTGAATTATTCTCTTTCCATTTTCATCATGCAATGAACCTGGACCTATGCCCTGTATTTGTACGAATTTTGGGTCCCCTTGATTGGCCAAGTCAGGCCCAAATGCCATGGCCCGTATTTTCTAACATTTTTACTTAATTTATTTTATTTTAAATTAAATAAAATCAAGATAAAATGCAAGTAAAATAATGTCCATTCCAAAATGTACTTAGAGGTCCTCATAGATATCAGGGACATGTTTGAACCTTCAAAACTAGGCCCATTGGTCAAAAAATGCAATTTTGCTCAATGTGTACTTTTTGAAATTTCTCAAAATTCCCCAACTTCTGCAATTCATATCTTGCTCGATTTTTATCCTTTGGAGATGATATAGGACTTTTTGGAAAGCCAAATATGTCCTATACAATCTCTATGTTGACTATTTTTGCATTTGGAGATCTTATCTTGATGTAACTTGCCTTGACAAAAAATGTTTTTGTTGACTTTCAAAAAGACCTGTAATGTATTGGCTCATATCTTTCCAATGATGCATTTTTTAAACTTGAAGACAAAATAAAAGTTGTATGGAATTGAATTTTATTCACAATGAGATTTGGTTAGGGCAAAATGGATGAAGCATGTGAAAGTTATGCCTGGTCAAAGTTCAGTTGACTTTCTCTAGGAGACCCTAATTTAGTAAGTTTTAATTCTTGATGTTTTGAGAGCATTCCTTGAGGAATCATGATCAACCCTTGATAAAATGATGTATATCACTTCAAAATGTTGATGTTGAAAATAAATATTGAAGTTTGGCTGTATATTTACCACAATTGACTTTTGACCTAATATAGTTGATTTCCAGTCATCTGAGCAATATACCGAGCAAACTTGTAATGCAAGGCATGAAAATTGGCATGAGCATTCTTGAGGACATATTAGCAACCATGGAATTTACTTGTGGCCTTTGAAACCCAAACTTCTTTGGAAAAAATGAAACCCTAGTTGGAAATCCATTGCTTAGGAGGAGAATTTGTCTGGTCAATTCTTGGTCAACCTTGAGCACTTGAGGACCTCTAGGAGTGTGTTTTGAATAAAAATGAGAGGGAAAATTTTGGGGTACAACAGCTGCCCCTTTTCAATTATCTTAAACCTGAGGATTTTAGATTGGCTTGTCTGCCTTTCGTGATTTGAAGGTGGAAGATGATTGAACACTAAAGT